GAGCCTCTCCTACCCCCAGCAGGCAGGATGTTTACCTGATGTTTGCTGCGGCTCAGGCAGCAGCGAACAGCCACCGCCTCCAGCGCTGCTCTCCTGCTCAGCTCCACCGGCTCGTAATACTTGGACAGTCTGGTCTGACCCTGCTGGTTCACCATCAGCACAAACTTGATCATCCTGTTGTCGTCGGCAGAACCATAGATATCCATGGATATCTATGGGCAGAACAACCACATTCACAGCACAGTGCTGCTCAGTTTCCCCCATAGACAACAGCGCAGCTGACAGGTGCAGTACTGCCACCCAGTGGACTGGAGGGAACAAAGACGTGACTGAATTATAAAAAATATAGAAAACCCCTTTATTGTCCCTCAATGGGCAAATTCTGGTGTTTACAGCCGAAAAAAGAATATAGAAAAAAATGGTCACACAAATGTGGACCTCAGAAGAATGTATAAGAATAAAATAATAGTGAAGAGTTAAAAAATAAACAAATAAAATACTGTAAAGTGTTTTAACAATATAAAACTGTTCACACAGAGAATAAATAACCAATACACAGCTATGGACATTTTTTATAGTAATGGATATTTGAAAATAACAGCAACATCAGAGATGTGCAAAAATGACAATAACATGTTATTTAACTGACTAAGGTAGAAACTGTGCAGAATCAGCATGAATGGAGCAATTTATTGAGGTTGTTGGGAACAGTGGTGATTCTAGAGCAGGCATCCCCAAGGTTGTTCCTCGAGGGCAGTTGTCCTGCAGATTTTAGATAGTTGATTAACCAGCTTTTGCTGAACTGCAATCGTCATAATCAGCTGTGCTAAAGCAGGGAAACCTCTAAAGCCTGCAGGGCAGCGCCCTCCAGGACCGACTTTGGGGATGGATGCCTGTTCTACAGCCTTCCAGTTGCTGGGAGGAAGGATCTGTGATAACGCTCCCTGGGGCATTCAGGGTGCAGCAGTCTGTCACTGAAGGAGCTCTCCAGTTCAGCACCAGCTGAACCAGCATGGGGGGGGGGAGACATTATCAGACAGAGATGTTTGTTTAGTTAGGATCCGTCCGTTTCCAACCTCCTGCACTGAGTCCAGAGGGCATCCAATCTAATCCAATATGTAAAGATAATAGATATAAAGAAAAAATCTTTACACAGAGGGAACCTATATTTAGTCGATATCTTTATCTTTGTTGCATTGATACTTCTTACACTTCACAAAATGTAGTTAAAAGCCTTCAGCTGATCCAAAATGCTGCAGCCAGAGTTCTGATGAAAATGAAAAAGAGAGATCATATCTCTCCTATCCTGGCTTCTCTTCATTGGCTTCCTGTTAAATCCAGAATAGAATTTAAAATCCTCCT